CCCAGCTCGGGCCTCACCCGTTTACCGTGCGTAAAATCTACCCCCATCTGCCCCCCCCGAGAGGATCACGCCCCCTTCCGGGGCTTGGGGCTCTCGCCGCCCCGAGGCCTCCCGGGAGCCGCGCGGTCCCCGAGGCGATGCGGACCGATGGCGCGGCCGGGGCGCCCTTTCCTGCTCCTCCACAGACTTGTGTGGGCCTGAAGCCAGCCCAGGCTTTTCTTAAATTGTCACTGCGGAACCTCGGTTCAGATTCGCTACAAAATGAAGTCTGCGAGGGCGGGGGTGGAAGGCTCCAAAATGGATGTTTGAGTAATTCATATCACCGCTGGAAACTCCTTCCCAGCACCACGGCGTTTTCAAGCACAGCCTATCGGCCATGGATAGTAGCAGCCGGAGGCACAGTGTCTCCAGTTCTTAGTGTGTTGAACCTGGAGCTTTTTCGGTTGGAAGTTACTAGATCTTACTGATTTAAACCGTAAATCGTTAAAAAATAAAAAAGAAGGAAGGAAGGTTTACTCTTTGAATTATGTTTTTGTACGCAGGAGTGGATACTTTGAAGTGCTTTTTTCAGTGACCATTCTAAATGGTCGAATTTTAGTTTTTGCAGACTCTTATTTTGCAGTAATTTTTCGTAAGTGGAATAAGTGAAACATTTAATTAGCGGCTGCTGAAGTCGCTGAAGTTACTTAGATAATACTTTGGCTTTTGAAATTGAACCTGAATACCCGTGTTAGAAACAGAAGTACATGTAAGAAGTTGTACTTGCATGCATGCTAATGCACGCCATACTTACACAGTTGAATTTGGCTCGTAAGGCCGTCTTATTGTCATTGCTAGTCTGATGGGACGGGGTAGGTGCTTTTTTGTGGTGTGTTTAGTGTGTCTGGAGCAGGGGGAGGAGCTGACGTGTTACCTGAGGGCTTAATTCATATGATCTAGGAAAACAGCTTTTAGCACTGTTGCTTGTGACTTTTACATTTGCTGGAATCATTGCTGTTGCATTAGTGTAACACATAGATGTATTTACTTATTAAAATAATTGAATTTCCCTTTGAGGTGGATTATAGGACTTGATTTGTGTGTAGTGATACTTGGAAGTAGTCACAGTAGACAAAAAAGTTTGATATTTGATATAGTCTGCTGGAAATTCTTAATATTTCTAGGCAGTAAAAGTGAAGCTAAAGTTAATCTATGTTAAAGGTTGTATTTGTAATTTTAGTGCTTCAAATTATATTGTAGAGAGAGATGAATGGTTTTAGTGTCTTAAAAGTATGATTTTAAATTTTGTGCTTTTGTAAGCAGATTAAAATGTAAAGGCATAAAATTATGTTTGTGTGAGCCATTGTTACTTTTAAACAACTTATGGATTGATAAACCTTTTTAAAGAACTACGTCTCTCTAGCTCTACAATGACAAGACAAATTGGAACCACTGCATAAGTAAAATTGCAAGCCAGATTGCTTCTACTTACCTTTTTAATATTTTCAATTAGAACAAAAAACTTTTTGTAGCTGTAACTTACCAAGTTTAGGTGTCAGCTCACCAGTGGGGGAGGGGAGAAGTAAAGGAGGAAGTGAAGGTGAAAATATGTATATGTACATGTATATGTGAATCTTACATGAATCTCAGTCCCAGGAATGGAATATTATCTCCAACTTTAGCCTACTCTGGCCATATATCACTTGTAGAAAAGTTGTTTCCATGCCTCTTCAACTCATACTCTGAACTACTAAATCTCTACTGATATATATTTCCCTATAGATGAATATGAACTAGAATCAGTTGCAGCATTTTTTTTTCTTTGTATGTTTGGTACCTGTGCAGACAATTTTTCACTGAGTAAAATTGGTAAGACTGGCTTGAATATGTTTGCCTTAGGAAATGGGAAAATTATTTTTCTTGTTCAAATGAATTTCATACACGTACATCTTGGAAAATGAGAATTTAAGTGATTTTATGGGTAATTTTTTTCTACCTGAAAATGTTATTAATCATCTGCTTTAATTACTCAAACTACTGGGAATCTTGAGATATCTATAGAGAGCTTTATTTTTGTAGCTGTGTTTCTTTAAAATTCTTGTTTTGGAAGAATTTTAAATTTACAGAAAAGTTGCAAAGATGGAACTTGAGGGTTTACCGTATTCCCTTCATCCAGCTTCCCCTAATGTTAATATAGCCATGGTACATTTGCCAAAACTAGGAAATTAACAATGATACAGTATTATTAACGACAAATTTTATTCTGATTTTACCAGTTTTTTCAGTAATGCCCATTTTCTGTTCCAGGATCCAGTCCAGGGCACCACATTGCATATAGTATTATTATATTTAAAATCAAGTGAAATACATGCATTTCAATTTTATGCCAGTTTAGTTTGGTATTTTAGGATTAAAAGGTTATTAAAAAGCCAATCACCTGCACTAGAGATTTGCTTTAACTATTTCAAATTTAGAATTTGTTTTAATATGATATGGGTTCATCCTGGATCCTGGCCAAGAATGGGTACCCTCAGTACTGTACTGAATAGATCTAATCACAAAGCAATCTCACCTGTATTGTCCTACACCAGGGACTCCCAAGGTTGGTTTGATGGCAAGGCTCTTTTCTACTTTATTATTAAAAGTTGTGTAGTTAATTAAAAAAAAACTTTATTGTTGAAAGTATTACATAGGTCCTCCTTTTTTTGTGTAGTTAAGTTTTGTAATAAATCAGGGAACGGAGTAAAGTAGACCTTTGTGAAATATTAACTTACCTGTTTTGTGTTTGTATGTACTTATGGATTATTAATTTATTTCATTTGTACTGTAGTGTAATAAGCTGAACAAGTACATAATATAAAAGTTGTTGCCTGATCTTCACTTTAGGTTGTAAATTTAGTGTTCATTAATTTAGTATATACATGTTGGTGAGCTAAAAAATGAACTATAGCTTACTTTTTTAAAAGAGGTTATTTTTACCATTACTTAAAAAGATCTACATTGTCATTGTAATGAATTCATTGGGTATTTGTTTTTATTTGAAGTCTGTTTGAGTTCTTTAGTGTTCCTTGAAGATTTCAAGAAACTTGAGTATGTACTTACCTAAGACTGGTTTTTCGTTTGTTTCTACCTTAGCTTCATACTTTCTTGTTTCTGGTTACACTCTTTGCTTGCCGGTTTGGCTTTCATATAAAGCCCATTTGTGGGAACTGAGAAGTTAATAATCCTTTTCAAATGCTATGCAGTAAGTGGTATGAATTTTTTCTTTTTCCCTATCTACAGGTATCATCTGAGAAGATAAACCTTTTTTTTTCTTTTCTCTCATCCCCAAGTCCCCACCTCCATCCCATTTTTATGCCTGGTTGTACTGGAGAATGCCCTTGTAATGAACTGCTGTAGTAGCGTTTCAGGGCTACTCTGGGTTGTGGTCCTTTCACTGTGTAATTATGTGTTTATATGCAGAAGGAACCTTAGAGTACCTTAGAGTTACAACTTTTTACAGTAATGCCAACTTCCACCTAAATATGGGAAGTATTTAGATAGTATTTTGTTTGTTTGTTGTCAAATGAGAATGTTAAAGTTACTGAGAGAAACACTGGTGGATTTTTCTTTTAGTGTGAAGTTTATGTAAAGGGTTGTCTTGATCCTAAACCAAATACTAGTTCTTGCCTGGGTTATGTGATTTTATGCTCTCTCTTCCTTTGTTTTATATAGTATTTCCAGATAGCCTAACAGCAGAGTTTTTACAGCTCTTTTTGCTCTTAGATGATTTTCTAATTTAGCCCTTTCCCTTTTGGTATCTAGAGTACTTTATGTCTTTTAGTGGTATGCTGCTGATGAAATTTCTTACAAATGAATGGTCTTAGTAGGCTTTGTAGTTTGAAATATCTGGGACTTATTCATTATGGAGTTATGGAAATAAATAGGTTTAAAATTGATGTAGTTTTTCACAGAAGACTAATATCTCAGGGTCAGTTTTATCCATTTTTTTCTATCACTTTCTTTGCAATGGTTTTAAAGTAAGATACCTTTAACTATTCATTCAACAAATACCTACTGATCTTTGATCCAGGAATTGTGCTAGTCATCTAATGGGTGTTTTTCAAATCTGTCCTTAAAATTTTAGTAATCATAATGATGCCTTAGGATTGTATAATGCCTTATAGTTTGTAAAGGTTAGCAGTTTTGATTCTTAGAACCCTCTAGGGCAGTGGTTCTCAACCTCCTGGCCCTTTAAATACAGTTCCTCATGTTG